GGATACATCATCACAATCCTCCGTTTTCTCAACAGCTGTTACTTTGCTTAGTTAAATGTATTTTTAAATATGCTTTACCTAAAATATATTTTGAGGAAACCCCTTCAGAGAAGTAAGACAGTAAGAGTGTGATGCATCTGGATTAAAGCTTTGTGTTTGGAACGAGACTTCAAGTCTTTTACTATGACATATTTTTCCTTGTTTGTGACGGCTTTCTTCAATTCACATGTAAATTATCTCCAAGTTTATTCAACTAAGCCCAATCTAATTGCATATATTTCTATAAAGTAACCCTACTTTTGTTTGTTGCTCAAGTCGAGCATATTATCTGTGTAACCCAGAGATATTTCAATGGGGAGAAAGGATTCACTGTATTTGTTTGTGTGTCATTCTGAAAATATAGTTTTTTAAACAGATCTGGTACTTTACCAGGTGTGCCTTTAAGTAATTTCTATCACATTTATACTTTAGGAGGATTAGGAAAGAGAGTAAAAGAACTCTTTGTCCGTTAGATTCATTAAATGTATTCATGCGTGTGTAAGTGGTATAGAGGCTGTGCTGCTTGGGAATCAGATCCTTGTCCTAGGGTGGAGAGAAAGGTGAAGGGTGTGATATTTACTGCTTGTGTAAGTGTCATAATAATTGTGTATTTGATTCTTTATTTTTAAATTACCTTCCTGGGCATTAAGCCATGGTTTTTTGTATTTATCTTTTCCCTGCGGAGTTAGGGAGGGTAAGGAACCACACCTTTGAAATGGGAAGGGTACAGCTGCTCAGGATGTGAATGTGTAACAGAACAGATAGGTCAGCAAAGGTGAAGACAGAAATAATACAAAAATTAGTCATTTAAACAAATGCCTATTTAAATAACTTCCCCGTGCACCAAACTGACATCAGCTGTATAACAAAGCTCTTTGAAAGATGAAGCTCTAGTGCACCAAAGCCTAAGGTCCCATAAATGTGTATCCATAGTTGGAAGAAAAATATTAATTTACCAACTTAAACCTATTTTAGTGAAAGCAAAACATTTCACAGCTCAACGGCAAGATCTAACACTGACAGAAATAAGGTCCTGTTAGCACCTCTGGTCATGTTGCTAGAAGGAGTCTCCCCTGAAGGGAGAGGAGTTTGCATAGAAAGTCATTTGCCTGAAGATAAAAACCTCCTGGGGCACTATCTGCACTGGCTGTGGGACAGCCCTGAATGCACCTGCGTGTTATTGTACAGACTTCTGTGAGCTGGAATATCACTAATTCTGCTGTCACTTACTCTCTTAGCTTCTGAACATTGTGTCCTTCCTCTGCCACCCTCCTCACTATATGAACCTGGGACAGCTTAGACTCTCTTTCCAAGGGCTTTTAGTTTATGTTTCATTATAATATAAAGTATTTGCCTTAGAAAACCTATGAAAGATACTTGAAAAATGCATTCACCTCATCAGCTGGGATCACCGTGTGGTGTGTGAGCAGATTCTTAGAGTGTGCATACAACTGGTAGAAAGACAATTATTATAGCACTTGTAGGTACAGATAACCACTATGCTTTTAGCATTTTTGAGGCCTTTTGACTAATGCTGAATACTTAACTTGGTGAATTTTGCTACCTTAAGAAAGTATTGATTTCACCACGTAGATCAATCTCATTGAGTTCAACAGGATCAGATCAGATTTAGTATATGAACTCATGCTTAAATGATTTCCTGTGTAACTGCCAACAAAGTAGAAGAAATCTTTCAGTAATAAAGGTGTAGGAGTTTGGGGCAGTGTGACTTATGTAATGTGCAGGGCTGTTCTGAAAAGAGTGTCTTGCAATGGCATCAGAGCAAAGGGATGCCAGCACTGATAATGGGCTCCAGAATTTATCCTAATGGTAATGAAACAAGGTACACAGATAAAAATTTGAAGGCTGAACACATCTTTGTGTACCACAGCTCTTCCAGGGTCCTTTAATCTCTGTTATATATCATCATTCTTTGGTTTCTAATTCTGGTTTAAAATACTGTAAGTTAGAATGCATTTTAGGTCTTAGATTTCATATATTTACAAGAGAAACCATTTCTTTTGGTAGGAGGAGTGTTCACTAATAAGGCTTCTCTTCTTCCTAGTAAACAACATATTTACAAGCCACAAATAACAAAGTAGAAGCTGCAGAAGGGTTGTGGTGTGATAATTAAGTACAATGGCGACCCATATGAACAGAAAATGCCAAGGAGCTAAAACAAAGCAACAACAGCTTTGTTTGTTGACAGATGTAGGAGCCATATTGTTAGTTAATTGGGTAATGGTGTAAACATTTGCAAACTCTGCTGTCCCTCAGTGAATTAAGCAGCACACTGAAATTATGGTGAAAAGCTGCACAGTGCTGGTGCTGCAGGTACTCCACAATGCTTCCAGCTAACCTTGTCCCTGTGGAGGCACTGAGGAAGGGACATCATGCATTGCCCTTCTTTCAGGCACTTGAAGTTTGCAAACCTTGGCCTAGGACATGTATCTTGAATTTCACTCAAGTGAATAACAGGTTTCCATATGGTTGCAGTCTGGAAGGCTGTGTTCAGTGCCTGGGCTTGCTTTTCAGATGTTATTTTTGTTTCCAAATGTAGAAGAGATTTGTTCTGTCTTTCCTGGCTTTTCTTGAGCAAAACCCTCAAATGGCTGCAAGATGTGAAAATAGAGGGTTGCAGTTTACTACAGGCTGAAAAGAATGGGAATTGCTTCTCTCGGGTGCCCAATACC